ACCACGACTATGGTATCCGATAGTATGATTATATTTGTTGAGAAAACTATATACCAAGAAGGCATTACTTACAAAGTTAAAAATAATAGCTTTACCATCATATTACATTTTTAAGTACAAAATATTACCTAAATTCTTATAAGAAAACTGGTAAAAGGACTTACGAGCATTTTCACAAACCACCCCTAAACTATCTCTTAACTAATTAATAAGTAGCACCTTAAACATACCCTTTACTTGTACAGGTGTATTTTTAGGTGACACTTACAGATTGGTGAAAACCAAAATGTAATTTAATGTCACATAGCTTAGGAGTTCCTTCAAATTTAGGAGAGTTTGGAGAAAACGAGTTTTAGTGACATTACATTACAGTACGTGGTGGCCCGGAGGTTTAAGACGCCCGCTTCTCATGCATGAGGGTACGAAACCTACCAACGGCAAGTACTAATGTGACTTTTTCCGAGTTATGTACTTTCTAAAATTATCTAGACACCACTGACAAACGGTGAAGGAAAACATCGTGAGGCAACCTGGACTTATAATTTCTAATTACAAGTCTGTAATCGCCAACCCGCATTGAGCAAGCGTGGTGATTAATGCTCAAACGTTCTCCGTGTGAGAAGAGGCTTTGCTCAGCGGTGGGCATTTACAGGCTGTTGATGAGTGGCATTATTAAAATGTAACCTAAACGTAACCTCCTTTGAGAAATTAAAATCGTGGTGCAGGAGACTTCCTGCAAGCCAAAGGGCCGAGTCGTTACGATGATAATATATGCAGTAATAAGACGCAGAAGAAAAAAGTTTAAAGCCTAATTCTTCAAATGACTTGAGATTTAAATTATCCTTCAATCGTAGAAGTATTTCAATGCGTTGCCTAACATCGCAAGTAATTGTATCATTACTGCTCGTAATTAACAAAATCTTGTGTAGATAGTAGTCTGTTATCTTATTTACTGATAATATACTATAAGAATATATAATATAAGAATACATATGAGTATGTACTTAATGAAACGAAAGTGCTAATTCATTCTGTAGTCTCCTTGACGCCATCTTTGTTTGTATGTCAGATGTCAGAATTGACAGGCTAACTGTCAAACGCGTATACACGTTGACTTAATTTAAATTATAAATATCAACGTATGATTTATTTATTTTAATAATTTCACTAAGTAATCAATTCATCTGATAATTATTAAAATGACACGTTTTGTAGGTAATTTAACACATACTGGCCTACTTCCTGAGGCTATAGACAACCGCAAGCTTGGGGCTCCGGGGCTCCGGCTCAAAGCAAGTGTTGGAACGGGGTGGTTTTTAGTCACTATGAGTCTTACACTTTCTCTCGCCTCGTCCAGGGCCGGAGGAGTCGTCTGATATCACCTACGACTCCCGGCCCCATTAAAAACATACCTACGTACCTATTAATTTGATGACTTGACTTGATGACGAAATGACTGCACGGTTGGTGTGGTGGCTGGGCAACCGACTGCCGTACAACGTATCGCGGGTTCGATTCCCGCACGGAACAACACTGTGTGATCCACAAATTGTTGTTTCGGGTCTTGGTGTGTGTTTATGTGAACTTGTATGTTTGTAAACGCACCCACGACACAGGAGAAAATTCTAATGTGGGGCAACGTTTAAAGAAAAATATTACCTTAGTTTATTATACTGTATTTTTACTAAATACTCGGAAGTACCAGTGTTTGCTCATGCACTGGTGCACTGTAAAATCAGCGATGTTGGTTAGTTTGTGCCAAAATTGCAAGACACGGCTACTGACTTTAAAAAATCAATGATAGATTGACCAAACAATATGGTTCGTTGCCCGACCGCAGTTTCTACACATTTTCTTTTTTTTATTTGGATATTTCACAAAATCAGTGAAATCGCGTAGTCTATTGATATTGAAAAGTATTTTTTTAAAGTTTAACCCACTTTTCTTGCATTTGTTTTTATTCCGACCTTTTTGTAACATTATGTTCTCTCGTGCGGTTTTAAGCCGCTGTTCGGCTCCTATTGGACATCACTTGGTGTTTTATAACCTATAGCCTCTCTCTATAGATAAATGCACTATCCAATTAAAAAATTACTTAACGGTATTGTGTACGATTTTGCACCAATAGATAGTAGATAGTTCCCGAGAAATGTCTAGGTGATGAAAGTTATGTATTTCATCTACTTGTGATTTAGCCCTCGTTCCTCATTAGTAGTCTTTGATAAGCACAGGGCAACGACCTTATAACGAATACCTGCCACTGTTGATTTAATGACTAGTTTCATTTTCGAATTTATCTTTTCACAATAATAGCTTAGATGCCTAATTTTTATTTTAATGTCCGTCTGGTAGATTATTTTAAATCATTAGACACGTATTTTTTATTTTCTTATAGATACGAATACTTTGGACGATATATTGATTTAAAATGTCGCGTGACGTCACTTCTATGTACATTTTATACGTAGAAATGACGTTTTGGCTCCCACTCCTAAACTTTGATTTGTTTTATCTAAGTATTGTTTTATTATAGGACAAAGTAAAAAAGTACGTGTCTAATATTTTTTCATTACCTAACATACGGACTAATTAGATTTTTAATTTTCATACCCTGTCATCAACTCAATTATAGTACTGCAACAAAAGTCATTACCTAGCCGTTTTATTAAAATTAAGTTTTATATAATATGTTCTCATAAATTCATCTCGTCACTTGTTCGTTATATCTTCTTAATATTTGACATCTTACCTATTATTTTATGTGTACACACGGCCACACATCAATCTATACAAAACCAGTTTATCCTGGTGTCGCGTCGCATCATCTTTCTGCACATTTAACGTCCAGTTTATACTGGTTATGTAAAGCTCGGTGTGTAGCCGTGTGGACATACATACATAAACTCACGTCTTTGTCCCTTGGTGCGGAAAATACGAGGTTTCAAACATACTGCACACTTTTTAACTTAAACAAGCTGTTAAAAGAACATTCGATCTAAAGTCTTCGGATTAAGATCGATTTTTGATAAAAATTCAATTTCGTGTCAAAAGCCCATATCGATCCCGAGATATTAGAGTGTGTCCATATCTGAAGAATGTGCTGCAAATGTGCAGATCGCCAGCCCTTTGCGAGCGGTGCGCGTGTCATGGCAATGGTTTGGTGATTGGTGCGCCTCTTCAGTGCAACTTATGCGTGGCTCGTATCACGCAGACAGCTCGCAAACGGATCGCGAGCTGCGAATACGCTGAACATTTTTTTTATGGCATAAGCCGGTAAACGAGCAGACGGATCACCTGATGGTAACCAATTGGCGTCGCCCATGGACACCTGGAACACCAGAGGCGTTACAAGTGCGTTACCGGCCTTTTGGTGATTAGGAGTTTTAAGGATCGTTGGGGATTCAGGAATTGAGGAGATAGGGGTAGGGGAGGATAATTGGGCCTCCGGTAACCTCACTCACACGACGAAACACAACGCAAGCGTTGCTTCACGTCGGTTTTCCGTGAGGCCGTAGTATCACTCCGGTCGAGCCGGCCCATTTGTGCCGAAGCATGGCTCTCACACACATTCGTCGGATATAGACGCACTCTTAATTGAGATGTGTTATTAATTGTGGATGTACTTAAACATATTGAGTTTCTAACCTTTTTTAGTATTTCTGGGACCTTGGGGTTAATAATTTCTGGGACTACGAAAAAAAATGTTGGGCATTCTTGATTTTGTAATCCTCAGTTGCTTTGGTTAGAAACCTGGCTCGTCCCCCAATTATCTATTATTGTCCCATATTCTTTTCTATCCCTTGTCCCTTATTAATATATGGGACAAGTGACTCACTGGCTACTTTTTATTGGTGTGAGCTCATAACAACTGCAAAAAATTGTGTTACAAGAAACGTGCACCTTGCCTGCCAAATTGGTCAAAGGCGTGATTTTACGTATTTTATAGTTTAGATCTAGTTAATCGTAGTTGCCTTTATAAGATTAATTAAGTGCCTATTTTATTTATTATAATTATTATATCATTGACGTATCAGTACTGCGAGCATTAATTTTTTTATAAACATAGACGTCATTTCTGTTTGAAACGTCATATTTGACGTTTCTTTTTTTTATGAATATGCAATGATTGTATTAAAATAATGCCAAGACCTGCTCTAAAACGTATTTAATAAGAAAATTCAGGCTCGCTCTATTATTGTACCTTATAAGCTTAATTACTTTGGTCTTTGCCTGTAGTATTAGATAGACTTTTCAATTGCACGTCATTCTTGCACGTTATTCATTAATTAGACTGTATTTTGTATTTTTTGTATAATCATACGCTTGTTATAAGTATAATGTTTTAATAAGGCGTTTGATACACGGCCTATGTATAAAATTGAATGAAGATCAACTTGTGAAATAACTTAAATTAAAGCCGAAATTAAAACCGGTCTCAAACAGATTTTTGATAAATATTAGCTTTATTTAATTTTTACCATAAATTTTGAATAAACATCTTAAAGGTTCCTCCAACTTAGGTTAGCTACCTTTTATGCAGGATTAAATTAAATCTATGGTCGTTTATAAAAAGCCTTATTTCATCTGTGACGTGGCTGGACCTTTTTTTATATTGAAGGTGTAGTTGTGTACTGTATTTAAATTTAGAATTCAGCATGACGTTTAGTTTGTGAAGAGTAATGATCATCACATTTGTTTGTATGTGTGCATGACTTAGCAACTGTCATAATGACGTCACTTTTGTCTCAAGTTAAATGAATGATGCAATTCATGAAATAATTGTTTTTCAAATTATATCCTTAGTTTAGGAGTTTATTCAAAAGAAACAAACAATCGATCAATTATAATATTTGTATTTAGTAATAAAATGTCAAATTAATTTAGATCTTGAAGTATGAAACGAAAGAACAATGACCAGAGACAAAGATGACGTCATAATATATGTTTTATTGTCTTTGTCTATCATATTGTTTATGAGTTTGTTTTTTTTTTCTTTTCAGCTATATTCTGAGACAGCTAGGACATCCTGACTTAATTAAAAATGTAAGTAGAAACAAACTTTTTTGTGGATTAAAAATAAAAAATCTGTCCCTTATATTCGGACTCCCTGTCCCTTGTTAGGGGTTTTCAGGGCTCTATATTATATACTAGCTACTTCCGCGCAGTTTTACACGCTCTGTTCAGCTTCTATTGGTCGTAGCGTGATGTTTTATAGCCTATAGCCATTCTCGATAAATGCGCTATCCAACACAAAAATAATTATTCAAATCAGACTTGTAGTTACAGAGATTAGCGCGTTCAAACAAACAAACAAACAAAAAACCAAACTCTTCCGCTTTATATAATAGTACTAGTAGTTCCTGAGATTAGCGATTAATTCTCCAGCTTTATATTTTATATAGTAGTATAAGATAAGATTATACAAGGTGTAGTTTTAAAACCGTTGCATTTCTCGGGGACATGTCACAGAAGTCATAAAGGTTCAATGTAAGAGAAAGTTTCGGGCCAATAGATAAAAATACAGTTATAATAAATCGTTTAAGTTCGACAGTATTTCAGAATGAGCAACAGCAATGTTTCTTATTGGAGTTTTATGGAATTAGAAATAATATCAATTACGTGTTTGAGTTTGTGTGTGTTAAGCGGCGTTATAAAACTAGTTACAAGACGGCAGCGTGTAGTTCGCACTAATGGATTTCCGTAATTTACAGAAAAATGAAAAATATTTACCTACAATATTTTTTATTGATTCGGACTCAGAATCGATAGCCGAGTTACCTCCTAGAGAATGACGCGGCTTTAAAACAACACTTTGTATAATAGTATAAGATGTTGATGTTTTTTTTTCAGATGCCTGAGAATAAAGCTCTGTCGGGCTTGTGTTCCGGTATAACTGACGCGTACGATCTATTCGGCGTACCAAGCGCGGTGATACTCTTCGTTGTCGAAGAGGTATCATACAACATTTGTGACCAAAGGTTCCATGAGTTCGAAATTGCTGAAAAGAGACCCGATATTATGGTAAGTTTTAAAGTTACAATAGAGTAAAGGGACCAGAGGGTCAACCACGAATAACTATCGCATTCGTATCGTAACAGTATCTTTTTTTTTTATAATTGATGGGGCGACGTTTGACCACTATCTCACCTGATGGTAAGCGATGATGCGGTCTACGTTGGAGCACGTCGTCCCATAAGCAACCTGTCCACTCGGGCCTTGAAGACTCCCAGGTTATACCCTTCAGGAAATACAGACTCTGGCAAAGAATTCCACTCTTTAGCAGTACGCACAAGGAAGCTTGAAGCGAAGCGCTTCGTGCGTGTGGGCGGAACATCTACCATGAATCGGTGACGCTTCGCGGATTGTCTAGTGGTACGATGATGGAAAGGACTAGGGGGAATCAAGTTGTGCAATTCCCCCGCACACTTCCCGAAATGTATCCGGTAGAAAACCGAAAGGCTTGCAACCTTACGCCTGTGTTCGAGGCTTTGAAGCCGAGCCTTCACAAGCGCATCATCGTCGATGAGTATCGAGCGAGTTAAGCGTTCTGATTGGTTGGTTCACTTGAGCCGGCCAATCAGAGCGCCGAACGCGCTCGATACTATTACGTTACGATTGCAATAGTTATTCGTGCTAGGCACTCAGGTTGCTTACTCTTGAAACCAATGTCAATGCAATTTCAATCCAAAATAATCTCAATAATTTTTCAATGTCAAAACTGTACAACCCCAATCGTAGCTGCTAAAATAGCATTCAGAGTACGGAATATAAAGTCAAACTTATATAACAATACCATTTAGTTCATTCAATCTCCACGCAATGCGGATGCAATGGGCGCTAGTGTTGCATGAAAATGAGTATGAAATTTTACGATCGATCGGAATTGGATTCAAGAGTAAGCCCCCAAAATGAGGGTTACCGTTTTAGAATATTAGATAACGCTATTTTAGCAGAAGTCAGTTTGTCCCATCACTGTTAGCTGTATGTTTTTATTACCAATGGTATATTACCTAAAAATTGCGGGTTACTCATGTGGAAATACTGAGTGATACTGGAGATGTCGTGCAGCCTACTGACAGTGGGCGTAGTAACAACGCCGCAACCGCGCACGCTGCTCATGAGTAAGAACCCCTCTGTGGTTAGAAACTAGTAAAGCTTTTCTCAGTATTTTCACGTGAGTAACACACGATTTTTAGCTAAAGTCAAAGTCAAAATCATTTATTTCAATTAGACCAGGAAGGCACTTTTGATCGTCAACAACAAAAAATTTAGAAGTGAAGGTAGTTGCTCATTCCAAAGTGTAGATTCCTATGGAGAAGAACGAGCAAGAAACTCCATAGGTTACTCTTTTTCAATCGGGTTTACAATACAATTCTCTAGTTACATAGTTTTGTTGGTTCGATTGTGTGAGAACAATGCAACACGTAAATGCTAATTTAGCATGTCTCATGATTGTTATTATAAAAGCTGACCAATGGTATGATTCAAACTAATTCTTCATTGGACGAAAAGACAACAGGTTCCCACTAGCTCCATCTGAAAATCAAACAAAATTTGGGTTGTACACGACATAGACCGGGTAGCCGCGCTGTCTAATTAGTTTGAACATTTTATACTGCGAACTCCAACCTGCCCGTTAAGCGTGGAGATAGCTCCCTCTGATGTACTGTCCGTGGTCTTTTTTTTAAGGGGGGAAAATCATCGAATGACTGCTCCCGCCTGGGTGAGGCGGAAGGGAGTGTCAGACTCTTACTGACTTAAAACCACCCCGTTTCTTCTCCTGCACGTCGAGCCGGAGCCCCGGTTACCCGTTAGGTTCTCCGCGAATGACTTTTTATGTAATTAACCGATTTATTTTCAATTTCCTACAGATTCATAGGAAAACGTTGAATGAGATTTTTGAAGAAACGACGTTGAATGACAAGAAACAACTTATTTTGTAAGTAACATAACATCATAACATAACATCACGCCTTTTATCCCCGAAGGGGTAGGCAGAAGTGCACATTATACCACTGTACAATGTAACACTCACTTTCACTATTTATGTTATGAGTCCCATGTAATAGAGGGTGAGCCTATTGCCATATAATGGGCAATATTCCAAACTCCGTGTTACTACTGAGAATATTTAAAAACCCAGTAATACTTTGCCCGACCCGGGAATCGAACCCGAGACCCCTTGCCCAGCAGTCGCACTTGCGACCACTCGGCCAACGAGGCAGTCATTTTTTAAGTATTTAAGTATAAACTTACATTCACTGATGCTTTGTTCGCACTATGCTAGTATTTTAGTCGAGCAGCGAATGTTTAGTACATCCCTCTCGATTCTGTCCCAAAATCGAAGCGAGAGAGAGTAACGTAGTATTTTAGTCAAGTAGCGATACCAGACTAAAATACTAGCATAATGCGAACAAGGCACTGTGGCCGTTTCCCTAGTAATTTAATCGAGTTAAATAGAATAAAATATATTGACTCGACTTGAAGATGTCGTGCAACGTATCTCCGTCCTAGAAATTATCGGTCCTTCGGGGCCCCTTGAGGATACGGGGGACCTGGGCACAGGCCCCGAGATTCATGGTAAAGACGGTACTGATTGCAAGTTAAACAAAACCTTGCAATATAAATAATAGGTACCTAAATAATGTTTATGTTCTAGGGATGGTCGTCCAGTCGCCGTAGTGTACTACCGGTCCGGCTACGAGCCCGCCCAGTACCCGTCCCAGAGGGAATGGGACGCGCGACTCAGAGTCGAAAGGTCCACGTAAGTATTGACAATCACATAATTTTAAAGTAGCTTTAGCCACTGGCTTCGCCCGCGTTCTAGTGGAATGTAAAGTAAATTAACTAAAACCGCGGGTTACTCACGTGAATATACTGAGAAAAGCTCTACTAGTTTCGAACCACAGAGGGGTTCTTTAGTAGAGTTTTTCTTAGTATTTTCACGTGAGTAACCTGCGATTTTATTTTATTTTCTATGTCTCACGATAGTTGTTATAAAAAGGATATAAAGTAGCCTATGTGTTTTTTTTACATACCATGATCTACCCCTATTCCAAATTTCATCACTATCCCTACATCCGTTTTGATGTTATTGTGTAACAAACATACACATAAATAATATTTATACTTGATAAAAGTAGAGTAAAATGATGCGTCAGGTATGTCTTTACATTATTCTCACATGTGTGTACAATATTGGAATATGTATCAGAGCAGTGTAAAACAGACTTTTTTTGAAATGAATAACGAATGGAGTTTCTTGCTCGTTCTTCTCCACTCGAATCGACATTTTGGAACGAGCGCCTAGCTTCACTGACGGACAGACTGACAGACTATTATTTATTTCATATTTGTTGACGTTTCAAAAGTACCAAATTATGGTTTAAACTGTCAAACACCGCGAGGACACCGGTGACCGCAACCTATTGTTCTTTAATTGTGTCTAATGACGGTATTCATTAGACACAATTAAGGTCAGCGTTTACCCGCGGCTTCGCTCGCGTCACAAAAGGATAAAAAGTAGCCTATGTGACATATAACAATACACACAGCGCCATCTATACCAATAATTTCGTTTTCCCTCGAGAATATCAATTTTTTCCGGGATAAAAAGTATCCTATTATTTAATCCAGACTTCTAACTTCACGTCTGCAAAAATTCAAAGCAATCGGTTAAGTAGTTACGGCGTGAAAGTGGAACAAACTAACAAACTCACTTTCCGATTTATAATATTAGTAAGGATATAAAATTCTCGTGTCACAGTTTTCGTTGCCATACTCCTCCGAAACGGCTTGACCGATTTTGATGAATTTTTTTGTGAGATCCGGTATCTATGTGAGTCGGCCGACATCTATTTTTTATCCCCCTCAATGTTAGGGGTAGTCCACGCCTATTTTTTTTATTTTTTAGACACAATTTTTAATTATTATTTTTTTATGATACAACATACAAAAATACATACAATCCTCAATTTTCACCCCTCTACGAAATTATTTATATGGCAAAACAACGTTTGCCGGGTCAGCTAGTTATTATAAATTTTCCAGGGCTATCAAATGTCCGTCGATTCAGTACCAGTTGGCTGGTACAAAGAAGGTTCAGCAAGCGTTGGCCTCGCCCGGCGTATTGGAAAAGTTCATGGGATCCGGACCAAGCACTTCCCGTGTCAGGGACATATTCACCGGCCTTTATTCCTTGGACTTCGACGAGAACGGCGAGAGGGCAGTCGAAATGGGACTCAAAGACGCCGAGAAGTGAGTCGATTTTTCTATGACTTACTTGCTTAGAATAATTTGTTTACGTATTTTTTTTATTTGGTTCACAAAACTAAATACAATATAACATACATATAAAATACCACAACAAACTTAATTAAGATTATATCCTACTAGATGTGAACACGGCATGCATAATAGAGAAATCTTACATTACTAAATGGGAACAAAAACTTTAGTTCAAAGTGTTTAAAAAGATCTTAGCTTCTTCTTGAAAGAGGCAAGAGAATCGAGACGGAAGACATCAATGTCTTTACAAATGTTATTAGAATAGTAACACATACGTTAAATCGACAGTCAGACACCACTGGAGAGAGATCAGGCGCGGAACTTCACAATTCACAGTACAAACAAATAAACTTTATATACCTAATAGTTAAGATATAAGATTAAATTTAAATTATGACTGCCTCGTTGGCCGAGTGATCGCAAGTGCGACTGCCGGGCATAAGGTCTCGGGTTCGATTCCCGGGTCGGGCAAAGTATTACTGGGTTTTTAAAAAAAATCTCAGTAGTAGCACGGAGTCTGGAATTGTGCCCGGTATATGGCAATAGGCTCACCCCCTATTACATGAGACTCATAACATAAATAGTGAAAAGTGGGTGTTACATTGTACAGTAGCATGAAGTGCCGTAATGTCCACCTCTGCGTACCCCTTCGGGGACAAAAACGTGAAACAACGTTTGCGTTGTGTTTCGTCGTGTGAGTGATGTTACCGGAGGCCCAATTACCCCTCCCCCCGCTCCCAGTCTCCCCAATCCCCGAATCCTCCACAATCCTCAAATTCCCAATTCCCAAAACGCTGGTAACGCACTTGTAACGCCTCTAGTGTTCCAGGTGTCCATGGGCGACGCTGATTACTTACCATCAGGTGATCCGTCAGCTCGTTTACCGGCTTATGCCATAAAATATACAATAAGTAATAAATTGATTTAAAGATTAAAATTCGTGACGTTTTACTTGTAGGTTCGTACTGAAGCCGCAGCGTGAAGGCGGTGGCCATAACGTGTACGGCGCGGAAGTGCGCGAGGCACTACAGCGCATGCGTCACAGCCGGGAGCGAGCCGCTTACATTCTCATGGAGAGAATCCTACCTCCACTCGTAAGTATACTACTTAAAGTATATAAGTCAAAATTATTTATTTCAATCAGACCAGGGGGCTTGCCTACTCTTGAATCCAATTGTTATGTTATGTTACTTAGATAAAATGGCGCCAAGTTTAGGAGTGGGGGGTCGTTACGTCATAACGTGCTACAAAATGTGGCACGCTATGACGTCACACGATATTTCAAATTAATATACCGTCGTATTAATATATTTAATTTTGTGAGAAAAGAAAAAATACGTGTCTAAAGTTTTAAATCAATGTATCAGACGGACATTAAAAAAAGATTTAGGAAACTACCATATTCCAATCGACCGAAATTGGTATTGTGAAATTTCGTACTCTTGAGTTTAACACTAGCGCCCATTGCATCCGTATTGCGTGGATATTGAATGAACTAAATGGTACTAAGTTTGGTTTTATATTCCGTACTCTGAATGCTATTTTAACAGCTACGATTGGGGTTGTATAGTTTAGACATTGACTAATGATTGAGATTTTATTGGATTGAAATTACATTGAAATTGGTTTCAAGAATAGGCACCCAATAGGGTTTTTTTAAGGCGGGAAAATCATCGAATGACTACTCCCGCCTACCCAATAGGGCAGTATCCTTAATTTCATTTTAATGTCCGTCTGGTAGATTATTTTAAAACATTAGACACGTATTTTTTCTTTTCTTTAAAAATTAAAAATGCTTTCGACGATATATTGATTTGAAATATCACAGTGTGACGTCACGATTTACTACATTTTATAGGGTAACGTGACGTAACGACCTCTCACTCCTATACTTAACTTCGTTTTATCTAAGTATCGTTTATTTATACGACATAAAAATACGTGTCTAATATTTTTTTCATTATCTAATTGACGGACTAATTACATTTTTAATTTTCATACCCTGTGTACTACCCTATTGGCTGAACCAATTTTGATGCGGTTTTCAAGTGATAATAATGATTTAATACTACAGGTACAAGGTTACGTGATACGCCCCGGTGCAACAATGCCGCCCCCAGTCGTCGATCTAGTGTCCGAACTCGGCATCTTTGGCGTTATCATCGGGTGAGTTTACAAACATAACATAACATCACGCCTTTTATCCCCGAAGGGGTAGGCAGAGGTGTACATTATGCCACTGTTCAATGTAACACCCACTTTTCACTATTTATGTTATGAGTTCCATGTAATAGGGGGTGAGCGTATTGCCATATACCAGACATAATTCCAGACTCCGTGCTACTACTAAGATTTTTTTTTAAAAACCCAGTAATACTTTGCTCGACCCGAGAATCGAACCCGAGACCCCTTGCCCGACAGTCGCACTTGCGACCACTCGGCCAATGAGGCAGTCGGGTGAGTTTAATATTGTTATAATGATCTCCAACTTAATAGGGTAGACGACTAATTTTTATTTTAATGTCCGTCTGGTAGATTATTTAAAAACATTAGACACGTATTTTTTATTTTCTCACAGAAACGAATAGTTTCGAAGATATATTGATTTGAAATGTCGCGTGACGTCACTTCTCAGTACATTTTATACTAAGAAATGACGTTTTAGCCCCCACTCCTAAACTTTGATTCGTTTTATCTAAGTATTGTTTTATTATACGACAAAATAAAAAAATACGTGTCTAATATTTTTTCATTACCTAACTTACGGACTAATTATATTTTTAATTTTCATACCCTGTCATCATCCCCATTATACCAGATGTGGAGATTATGATTTTATACTCTTATTTGAGCATGATCTAATTTCAGCAAGGGAATTTGTAGAGAGACAAATGCCTATTGCAATGCTGATATTGAATTTAGTCAAAACATAAAGAGTAATCTATCATAATCTGCCTCGTTGGCCGAGTGGTCGTAAGTGCGACTACCGGGCAAGTGGTCTCGGGTTCGATTCCCGGGTCGGGCAAACTATTACTGGGTTTTTAAATATTCTCAGTAGTAGCATGAAGTCTGGAATTGTGCCCGGTATATGGCAAAAGGCTCACCCCCTATTACATGGGACTCATAACATAAATAGTGAAAAGTGGGTGTTACATTGTACAGTGGTATAATGTGCACCTCTGCCTACCCCTTCGGGGATAAAAGGTGTGATGTTATGTTATGTTATGTCAAAACATAGAGATTTTAATTTTATTCCCTGAAAATTAACAAAAATTGTATAATACATGATACATCCATTAGCAATAAGTATTTGGTAGCAAAGAAAATATAAATTTCTTATTATTATTCTTTATTATTACAGAACAAGTGAGAAGATATTCCATAATCGCCAGGTAGGACATATGCTTCGCACGAAGCTAGCGGACGCCGACGAAGGCGGGGTAGCCGCTGGTCTTGGGGCCTTAGACTCTCCCTACTTAGTAGACATGTAATACTACATAATATATTAATTACATTATTTTATTTTTATACACACAACTCGCAATTACACACTCTGTATACGTTTCAAAAACACAGCCTGTATAAATTTCGAAAAAATACTCAGCTGTGTAAATACAACAGCCTGTATAACCTTAAACTGTGAAGACCATCGACATTATACTAATGGACATGCCGTACGTGTATAATCTGCAGTATTTTTTTGGTTCGACAAGAGTGAGAGAGATGGCCTATGCTTTCGGTCTAGCGCTATCTCTTTCTCACTCATAACGTCTTAACTACGGTACTATTTTGAGAGAGATAAAGATAGACCGAAACTTCGTTTCCTCTCTTTCTGTCGGAGTGCCACAATTCTCATCTCTAAGGCATGTCCATTAGTATATGTCGATGGTGAAGACAGCCTGTACATAAAACTAGAGATGTGCCATCAAGTCTGGTCCGTATCGACAGTTTTGGTATTATTATATTAAAATTATAAATGATATACAACACATGTTATTAAAAATAGTTAAAATTCGATCAATTACACAGTTTTAGAGTATCAAATGTAACTGTTGTTTTTCATTTTGACTACAAAAAATATCGAATGAATATAAATAACGTAAAATAATTATCTGTTCTCTTGTTTAGGTACGTACCAAAGTTCCGCCAGTTGTGTTTTTTCTATCAATTTAGTTTAATAAAATAATAATTTAAATGCATAAAATTCATAATACATATGTGATATTTTAGATACATTTAGCACAAAATCAATAACCGTTATCAATAGTCAATTCGAAATCTTAACAGGATGTCAAATTCTGTCAAAAAGTGATCTATCTTTTGGATTATGATTGGTTATTAATTTTGACCTACAGTGCCTTTAATACACGCTCCGCTCCGTGTAAAAATGATCTTACTTTATACATTTTTTTATTTAATACTCTAAATTCAATTTTTTTATGAATAATGTCGATATCTTTCATATCGATAACACAACCACGATGCGATGGAAATGTTTTAACAAAATTATTATTTTTAATCTGAGGTGACCATTGTCATAATCTCTAAAATATTTCTGATTTTAATTTCAAATTTCGAACTAAAAAATTCTTTATTTGTATATCCAAATTATCTGCTGCATTTATAATAAATAATTGTGAAGTATAAAATTGTATACATAAAAATAATAATTTAAATTAATTATCTAATTATGTTATCTATATTTAATTTTATTGAAATTTAATGTGAAGGCGTAATGAAGTCCTTGCCATAACTTTTTTGTTAAAAATTGAATTGAAATTTATTTTTATAGACATTCCGTTATTTCTTTTTTAATCACGATTGATTTTATTGTTGTGATAAAATCGCCTTGTGCCTATTTTTATAGCACGTTCGGCGATTTTATTAAAAAAATATTTAATATTAAATAATCATTATTTAGGTAGGTTTGGATGACTGATAATTGCAACAAACTTTAATAATTAACCAGTATATGTATAATTATTATTTACAATAATTTAATTATATTTTTGTTACATTATTGTTCATTTACGAGAGCGTAGTATAAGTATGGTTTACGTTTAATGAGAGCGAAACGATACCGCGTATAGCCCTGATTGGTTGGTTTATTGGAACAGGCCAATCAGACCACAGAACGTCATGAACGTAGAGTCGGTCAAGCGAGTCTAGTCCCATGAAAAAGGCGGCAAATTCAAAAATCTTTAGGAATCACGGCCTCACAGAAAACCGACGTGAAGCAACGCTTGCGTTGTGTTTCGTCGTGTGAGTGAGCTTACCGGAGGCCCAGCTACCCTCCCCTTCCCCAATCTCCCCAATCCCTGAGTCCCCATCGATCCTCAAACTCCTAATCCCCAAAAGGCCGGTAACGCACTTGTAACGCCTCTGGTGTTCCAGGTGTCCATAGGCGACGCCGATTGCTTACCATCAGGTGATCCGTCTGCTCGTTTACCGGCTTACTCCATAAAAAAAAGGTGTCAACACTGATATAGCACGCTGTAAAGTTATTGGTACTTGAATTTTTGATAAAAAAAAACATACTTGAAATAAATAAAAAAAACAATAAGTGTTCAGCGTGCTATATCAGTGTTGACAACTGACAGATTTTTGAATTTGCCGCCTTTTTCGTGGAACTAGACTCGCTTGACAGACTCTATCGATCACGTTGCGTAAAACAAATTGGTACTAAGGCCTCAATATAAGTATTCCCTTTCAGTTATAATTATTTGATTTTGTAAAACAGTTTGTTAATTTTGGTGATATTTTGAAGTTAGTTGCGAGATCAGTCGATCTGTGGTGCTGAGATAAATACATAGACGTAACTTTATATGTTTTTAATAAATAACTTGCGTGAAATATATGCAGTTGACTTTTATTTTCTTCTTTCATGGCCCTGTTGCAGTACTTATTTAGTAGTCATTAGTTGATTTGTCTCGTTGTGGGTTCAATCATGCAAAGAATAACTACATAACACAACTTCACGCCTTTCATCCCCAAAGGGGTAGGCAGAGGTGCACATTACAGCAGTTAATACTACTGTACAATGTAACAACCCACTTTTCAGTATTTATGTTATGAGTCCCATGTGTGGGGGTGAGCCTATTGCCATATACCGGGCACATATCCAGACTACGTGCTACTTCTGAGGGTTTTACAAACCCAGTTATACTTTGCCCGACTCGGGAATGTAACCCGAGACCCCTTGCCCGGCAGTCGCACTTGCGACCACTCGGCCAATGAGGCAGTCAAAGAATAACTTGTTTTGAATGGACGTTGGAGTGTGATTCAGTTGAAAACCAGTGTCAGGCACTAGATGTCTGGCATTTATGCTGAACTGGACCTTTTTTGGTGCAGCTGTCGGGCACATGATTATTGTTGTTGGTATATTGGACTTTTAAATTTTTGTATATACCTACATCTATTTTTGATTTTTTTTAATTTTTTTTATTTCACTCCTAATTTTTTGTTTGCATTGTATTTATTGTATTGTGTTTGTGCCTGGTGTTGTACCAAATAAATTATTTTTCTTTCTTTCTTTCTTTGATGTGATCTGTTTATGGAATATGTACAGTCAAAGGTCAAAAGTCCACCGTGAGTGAAGTTCACACGGCAATGCGTAAGTAATTTCATATTAATGTGCATAAAAACGCGTGCGTACGCACACGGATAAAAATATGCGTGTGCATGTATAAGCGCTGCAGCGCAACCGATAGGAGTCTTACGGTGGCAGTGGACTTTTGACCTTTGACTGTACATTTGTAAACGCACCCACGATATAGAAGAAAATACTACTATGTGGCAACGTCTTTAAAAAAAAACAAATCTGGTTCCACGAAAAAACCTTCCTTTAGTTCATGCGAAAAGCTCATACTAATATGTATTTTGCATGTAAAAAACTCAAATAAACAGTGTTTTTAAATAAATTTATTATATTATAATAAACAATCTACAGAGGCTGATGTTAGTTAATTAAATATATTCTGTGTATTTTGACGCCTTGCTCTTGAAAAGGTTGCCGCCTTCGTTGTAGCCCTCCATGTAAGCGAATTTGGGGTGAGCGTCGATGACCTGGAAAAGAAAATCAATATATATGTTACTGTAAAAGCTCGAACTGCAGTAAATCCTAAGATATTCCAGTAAAACCTAAGATCTACCAATTCCTACTAGTAAATGTCCAAAAAGATTTGAGATTCGAACTTTTACCACCATTCCGTTGGTAAATCTTAGGATTTACATCAATGGCATGGTAATTGTTGAAAAACAAAACATGTCATAACGTGCTCAGCGCATCGACTTGTAGCTCGCCGCTACCGCTACCCGCGCACCGTCTCCGCCACTCCGCTCGCCTCAGTCGCTCGTTTGACACGCTTGAACTCGCACAATAAATTAATTTCTAATTATAATTTTGGTGTTTAAAAGTTACTTGTGAATAAAAATGAGTATAAAGCAAAGATTTTATGAAATACAAACAAACAAACAAACTCTTCAGCTTTATAATATTGGTATAGATGGACGAGCTTGTGGCAAACAAGAAAGATAATATTTTTACTTTTATCTCGATAAGGACAAATAGATACGCTAAGTATTTAGAGGAAGTAAAAACTGCAAACAACATTAAAAAGAAGGAAGCTGTTCATTATAAAACGTTCGTTATAAAACGCTATGATATTTTGACTATAGGTGGCGAAGAAAAGCTAATTGCCCCGATGAAGGAAGATAATGGAGAAATCAAATATTACGTTTGTTACTACGATTTATTTAACATTCTCGAAGAAACGCATTTTACTGTTGGACACGGTGGAAGAACAAGGATACTTGTCACTATCATTTTGATTTCTTTATTATATCATGTACCTGTTTAGTCTAATAGTTCAAATAATTACTTAAGAATTACTCATTGTTTTATTCCTAAAACCAACATCTACCAGCTGACAATGGTAAAACCTAGCATATACCGAGTTTGAATGGTAAAAGCTCGAAAAAATCGTCGTATCTTCAGAAATACTTACATTTACCAACTCATGTCGGTAAATCCTAAGACTTACACTTAAATCTTAAGATTTACCGTAGTTCGAGCTTTTACAGTAACATATACATTAATAAAACAAGTTATTGTACGGAATAAGGGATATGAACATGCAGACTATTATTCTTAAGTTTCTGACTGCCAATAAGGAATCTGTTGAAGGCAAATCGACTGCTAAAGGTATCTGCACACAGCGGGCGCGGCTTTTTCTTTGTGCCTTTAGGCTTAATTCACTCGGACTCCTGCAGTAATTCACCGAGGGAAGTGAAACTATCGTTTTTTTTCTTCGCTTATAATATCTTCTGATTCACTTCGTTGCGGGAACCAAGACAGTTATTCATGTCCCTGGGACGCGCCGGACTTCAGCGTTCCGGTGTTTTCATGGTTGTATCTACTGTAGATCCTGGCTTACAGGAGTTGCAGCGGTTTTGGGAGGTTGTGGCGGGCTTGTCCCAAATAAAAAAAAAAACCCAACAAAAAGCCAACAGTCCACTCCTGGACTGGACTTCCTCTACTTAGGAATTTGCCGCAATAACCATGTTTGGCAGGCAGGCAGGTTAGACGTCAGTTTTGTTTAAAAAGTTTAGGATTATCAGAGTGCTGCTTCTCGACTTTTGTGGATTCCCTTAGGCGGTTGATACGACATTGCCAGGAAGAGTTGAGGTAGAGGATAAAGGTACCTATTTTTTATGGGATATGCCAACAAGCGTACACAGGCCACGGTAACCACTTACCACCAGGTGGGCCGTGTGCTCCGTTTGCCACCGTCGTGGTTATAAAAAAACAGTTACATTACTTGGTAAGCAATCGGCGCCGCCCATGGAAAGAGTTTAAGTGCGTTATCTTCCCTTTTGGGTTAGAGATTTACGTCCAGTGTCTATAACCTATCTGTAGATTTGCTTACTAGAGATAGTCAAAATTCTATCTCTTGTAAGCAAATCTACAGATAGATAGGTTATAGAAACTAGACGTTAAGGAGTGGGGATTTGGGGGTGGGAAGATTCGGGAGGGCAGGGAAATTTTTACTGAAAAAAAAACGCACCTTTTGCCTTTCATACGCATCATCAGCACTCGTGACAAGTTCGGGCACATCCAGCTTGGGTATACCGAAGAGGTTCATCAGGAAGAACTTCTGGTTGGTATACAACATGCGCTGGTCCGCCCAGTCAACTTCACGGGGAAGGCGCCAGTCCTTCATTTTAGGTTCCTCTCGCTCCGTGTACTGGTCGAAGTTGAGACGCTCTATGTCTTCAACGACCTGTAACATAATGAAATACGTATCTTATACTATTATATAAAGTGGAAGAGTTTGTTTTTTTGTTTGTTTGTTTGAACGCGCTTATCTCCGTAACTACAAGTCTGATTTGAATAATTCTTTTTGTGTTGGATAGCGCATTTATCGAGGATGGCTATAGGCTATAAAACATCATGCTACGACTATTAGGAGCTGAGCAGAGCGTGTGAAACCGCGCGGAAGTAGCTTGTGTACTATAAAATTCGCTAGTTAGAAAAATAACACTGAAGCAAACTCAGAGTGCCAAGCACGAATAACTATCGCATTCGTAACGTAATAGTATCGAGCGCGTTCGGAGCTCTGATTGGCCGGCTCAAGTGAATCTACCAATCAGAACGCTTAACGCGCTCGATACTGTTACGATACGAATGCGATAGTTATTCGTGCTTGGCCCTCAGAAGTCTTGTAGGGTCGAACCTGCGTTAACTGTCCGATGTACATGTATGTCATTGATATACCCAGCGGCGTAACTACAGGGTAGCAGGTCGCCAAATTGCCACGGGACCTCAGTCGGAAGGGGCCACGTTCAGAGGCCTTAGTACGAGTTTGTTTTACGTTTTCGTAACGAGTACGCGTTCGGCGCTCTGATTGGTTGGTACGTTGGCGCCGGCCAATCAGAGCGCCGAACGCGTACTCGTTACGAATACTTTAAACGTAAATGAAACTTCTCTGCCTTATATTGCGAACGGGGGCTCATTTAATGAATTTGCCACAGGCCCCAATGGGTATAGTTGCGCCAATGGTCGTATCGATAAAAACCTAGTATTACATAGCAATAGAAGATAAAAACTATAGCCAAGGCATATTGGCTATCGTTTATAATATGTATATAAAATGTACTGACCACTTCAGCCTCACCGCCACCGGTCCAGTCGTACACCAGTAGCTCAGCATGCGTGGAGATGTCACGAAGGTATTTGTTCTTGTACTGGGTCTCAATTTCTGTGAGGAACTCAGTCGTCAGTGCGCGGCCGCTGACCTCATGCTCTAGCTTACGTTTCTTAATGGCTTCTTGCACCTAGAAATATGAATGAAGATTAAGTATGAAATTATCATCCTTACTATTATAAATGGGAAAGTGAGTTTATTTGTTTGTTCCGCTTTCACGCCGTAACTTCTAAACCGATTGCTTTGAATTTTTGCAGACGTAAAGTTAGAAGTCCGGATTAAATAACAGGATAAATCCTGGAAAATTTTGATATTCCCGAGGGAAAACAAAATAATTGGTATAGATGGCGCTGTGTGTATTGGTCGCATAGGCTACTTTTATCCTTTTATGACGCGAGCGAAGCCGCGGATAAAAGCTTTAGGGAACAGAGAGTATAGTTCCCTAAGATCGGAAAAGGAGGATCCTCCGACCAGGCGAGGTGATCGTGCCTGGCGGGCTTTCTGCCCAACAGTTGTTCGTTGGGATTTTCTATCCGTATTTATTCGCTTGTAAACTTTGCATGTGCGATGTAGGATTCTTATGACGTCATCCGTTGACATGTGGCACGCGTCGCCACATCACTCCCTCCCAAGACCGGAGGTCGATTCCGCTGAGACTGCTGTCGATGCTTGAGATGAGTGGTGCCAGAGCCAGTGTAGAACGTCCCTAGTTCCAGTGGGTCGGAACCGTGCCGCTGAGTGCCCAGTGAGTCGGGTCAGCGGTGCAGGGTGAAACTCCAGTGAGTCGGAGAGATGCGTTCGCAGTGTCCCACGGTGAGTCGGGGAAGAGATGCTGCGAGGGTAGGTGCGTAGTGGCCGGCATCTGCGTTGACGGGAGGAGGTGTCCTTCAGACCGTGTGCAGAAGTGCTGTGCCTAGACGCTGGTGAGGCCGTAGGGAAGAACCAGGCTGCACAACTTCGTTGCAGGTAATGGTGGTCCCTGATGAGGCCGAGGATGCTGGTTGGCTGCGACTTGATTACCGCTCAGCGGAGAAGTGATGAATGAGAGGGATGGCGATACGGATGACGGTGCTAATCTGCTCCGTGAAGTGAAGGTTGTTTCCAATCACGTCGGGGTCACCACTTTAGGGAACAGAGTGTATAGTTCCCTAAGATCGGAAAAGGAGGATCCTCCGACCAGGCGAGGTGATCGTGCCTGGCGGGCTTTCTGCCCAACAGTTGTTCGTTGGGATTTTCTATCCGTATTTATTCGCTTGTAAACTTTGCATGTGCGATGTAGGATTCTTATGACGTCATCCGTTGACATGTGGCACGCGTCGCCACAAAGCTAGTTTTCAATAAATTATAATTTCCCTTAACCAATGAAATGATAACATTAAGGAGGCTATACACATTTTTTTTTTAAGGAGGGAAAGTCATCGAATGGCTGCTCCCGCCTGAGTGAGGCGGGAGGAAGTGTAAGACTCTTACTCACTAAAAACCACCCCGTTCCTTCTCCTACACGTCGAGCCGGAGCCCCGGTTACCCGTTAGGTTCTCCGCGACTCCGAATCGGCATCGGCCCTGTTGGGCCCCATCTGTGGTGGTCTGATGGCTCTTTGAGGCGCGCGCGGAACGCGACGCGCCGTATGCTCGGGTAAGGCCATACACGCTAGGTTTTGCATGATGGTTTTAGCCGTGCATGCATAACCGAAAGGCAAGCCCTAGCGTGTATGTGATTAAACTGTACAGTTATCGGTGCATCGGTGCTTGGTTATGCTTGTCGGTTTTGCTTGCAAAGTTATAACCATAACCATGCATAACCTAGCGTGTATGGCCTCCTTTAATTGATGAAAAAAAAAAGACTGATGACTATTGATGAACCGAAAGAGGTATGAGAAAATCATAGCAATTGGCATTCCATTGTATCTGCCTACCCCCATGGGAGACAGTATGCACAAACTATGTTAAAAAAAAATTAACTTCGATTTTTTTCGTTTTCTTTATTTGCATCAAATTTAGTTGTAGGGTTAGCTATATATCTTGTCCCTACTATTTTATACCCACATAAATGATGATCTACTAAAATGGACAACCCATACATCTCCAAGCGGTCACCGGTGACCGCTCTCCACTAACTACATTATAGACCTTATTTCCAATGTTTAGAGACTACTTTTGTATGGACAAATTTAGGGGATGCATTTCAACAGGTTAAACAGAATTTGTTGTATGTAAACCTCTTTGAACACTATGGTTGATAGACACTCATACTTAGATAAGTATGAGTTGTTATATGATTTAATAGTTATGTGATTTAATATTACAATATTTGTTATGTTTTTATAACTATCGTGAGACATACTTCACATTCTATTTTCCAGTGACGACCGCGACTGACCGCGCACGCTGCTCATGAGTAAGAACCCCTCAGTGGTTCGAAACTAGTAGAGCTTTTCTCAGTATATTCACATGCATAACCCGTGATTTTAGTTAACAATATTTGCTAATTTATTTGTACACATAGATATTTCTATCAGCACTAAAATTAATGTTAATAATTTTGTACAATTAATAGTGCTCACAAGAAAAGTTCATTGCTGATGAAAATACAATGAAATTATGTTTTTATGTTGGTGTTATAATATTGAGTATCAATTATTATAAGCTCAAAGCCAAAGTGTTTATTATACAAGTACTTTAGAAATGTTAAATTATTTGATGTTAAAGAAGATAAAGCATAACAGTTCACTGGTCCAGACAATAAAATAAGATTAGTTTTATTATTTACCTTGTTCACAGGCAGATCCAAGTAGATGACAAGATGTGGGCGCATCAGTTCCTCCAGGCTCTCAGCCCTCAGCTCATAGTATACTTGGCGCACTGCCCTGCTAATGTACTTGGAACGGTACATAGCCTCCAGAAACACAAAATCAGAGTAAGGAGACCTTTCCAGTACTACTCCTTGACCAGTGTTCAACAAATGGGTCAGAGCATCAATGTATTGACTGTACCTCGCAATGTACATCATAATCTGGAAGTTGCCAGCCAGACGATGGTTCGGACACAAGTTGAAGTTCACATGGTCAAAGGTCCTAGTGTCCTCGGGGATCTGTTCGTCAAACATGCGAATGTCGACGCCATTCGGCCTTACATAGTGGATGTCCATGTTAGCTTCAGGGAAATGCTTCATTCCGAGGTCCTCAGCAAGCATAGCAGCGAACTTGGTCTTGCCAACAGCCACTGGGCCCTCGACGACGACGACTTTGGTGTTGTCATCGAACCTATGAGTCGTACGGTCGAACAGACTCCTCAGCCAAGTGTAGTCTTTATTTACATAGTCGAAGGGAGCTGGCTTCGGAGGAGGGCAGGGCAGAGAGCTCCTAAGAGACTTGCCAGCGATGTTACGGTTCTGCACGAACGTGCATGCCGCTATTTTACATCCTTGGCCCTGGTTCGTAAGAACCTTTACAACACCCAGTTTCATCAGCGTAGACATTTTGACTCGAGGTATCTCTTGTTGTGCGATACCTAAAATACATTTTTAAATGAGATTTTGTCATTTTTGTGGCGTGTAAAAAAACTTGTAATTGGAAAATCTTACCTCAAATCAACTCAATAACAAAAATTATTCCTGTGACATAACCATTCACAAAAGAAGCGTTCAGAAATCGAGTTCAAAGTCGTGCTAAAATATTTATTTTACCGCATTATGAACGCAACTATAAATAGAGGTGACCGTAAAGATACTAATTTGATACTTATTTTCGAACTTAGTACTGGAGATTTTAGCATCAATCAAGGGTCCTGCATTTTCAGAAAATACTTTAACTTTAACGTTTTTAGCACGTGTCGTGTGGTGCTAGTTTTCGACATAAAACCAGAGACAACAAAACAATATTATTTTTGTGGCAATGGCAATGGTTGGAAATGACATTTGTCAAAACATGTACGTCTATGTTCTTTTTTAGTCTGTGCTTTTATTTAGCCATGTGATATTATTCTATTTTGCAACAAAAATCTCGTGAATTTGTGCAGTTATATTTATTAATCGACATGACTGACCAAACAGCATCAAAAATGGAATCAGAAAATATAAATGTGGAAGAATTCCTGCCTGCAAAGAAGACAGTGAAGCTGAAAAACATAAAACGAAGGGCAGTGTCTGAATCTGGCGATGGCATGGAAATTGAAGAATTTAATGGGATTCAAGGGAAAGCTAAACACAGTCGGTCGAGGCCTAAGAAGAAGAAGAACTCTGAGCCAAACGAGTCTAAAGAGAATCTGAGAAAAATCGCAGTTCCAGCACACAGGTATAACCTCAAATTTTTTAAGATAAAATATTGTAAATAAATAACACGCCAAATAGTGTATAATACTTAGATTTTATTGGCCAAGTTAAATCTAAGTATTATACACTATTCAGTGTATTATATGTTGCTATAGAGCAACATATTCATAGGGAACTATTTATATCTAGATACTATAGTTGTTCTTTTTTTGGAGAATTTAAACATATTATTTAGTTTTTTTTTTTATAGTTGATGGGTCGACGTTAGGCCACTATCTCGCTTGGTGGTAAGCGAAGTAATTTAAAAAAGATATAAGATTGTACATTTAAAATTTAAATATTTATTTATCGTCACACTTATATCTATAATTACAGGTTTAACCTAATATCAAAGTCTTCAATAAAATTTTAGAAATGAGTCTTTTAAATTACATTAACCATCTTATTAAAAAAAAAAACTTTATTCTTTATTTTACAGATACACTCCTTTGAAAGAGAACTGGCTGAAAATCTTTACTCCTATCGTGGAACACTTACTTCTACAAGTGAGGTTTAATACAAAGACTCGTAATGTTGAAATAAAGGTTGGGCCTGAAACAAAAGATATTGCCAATCTGCAGAAAGCTGCAGATTTCGTTAAGGTAATCATTTTTTAATACAATATTTTATTTTACTTACAATATATGCATGAGATTTTTTTTATGGCATAAGCCAGTAAACGAGCAGACGGATCACCTCATGGTAAGCAATCGGCGTTGCCCATGGACAGTGGTTGAGGAGTTACAAGTGCGTTACCGGCCTTTTGGGGATTAGAAGTTCGAGGATCGTTGGGGATTCAGGGATTGGAAAGATTGGGAAATGGGAGGGTAATTGCGCCTCCAGTAATCTCACTCACACGACGAAACACAACACAAGCGTTGTTTCACATCGATTTTATGATGATGAGTCCGTTCCCTCCGTGGAATCTTGCAACTAAATTTTGAAGCAGGTATCTAACCAATTAGGTTGAAACCCCAAGTGGTCACCGGTGACCACTCTCCACTAACTATATTATAGACCTTATTTCTGATATTTAGAGACTACTTTTGTATGAACAAATATAGGGGATGATTTTCAACAGGTTAAGTGTACACTTTTAAGACACTACCCAATTTAAATGATGTACAAGATAGTTGTTAGTATTAGATTAGTATTAGATGTACCTAAATTTCATTAGATATGTTGTTCCATGTATTACTGTCTGGAAAATGAGCATGTTGTACTGTATGCCACCTACAGGCACTTACCTTTTATCACAAACAAAACCGGTATCCTCTCAGCTATTTAGAGAAAGCTAGGATGACACCGGATCCTGTCTCACTCCATATAGACTATACTTCAAATATCTCTGCCTCATTGACCGAGTGGTCGGCCACATCATCGCTTACCACCAGGCGAGGTGGTGGTCAAATGTCGACTTATTAAGTATATAAAAAAAAACCGACTGCCAGGCAGGGGGTCCCGGGTTCGATTCCCGAGTTGGGCAAATAGTAGTAGTAGCAGTATTGGGTTTTTAAAAAAAATCTCAGTAGTAGTACGGAGTCTGTATAAGGCAATAGTTTTACCCTCTATTACATGGGACTCGTAACATAACTTAAACTTAACTTAACTTAAACTTAAAAAGGTTTGTCTCAGTTTTTGTGAAAGTCTCTGAAGTCTGTGTTGAATTGTATAATTAAATGTTTTGATTTCATTTTACTGTGATATTTCCTTTTTGTCATTTACTATTGTAATTGTCTAATTTTTCTTTGTTTCTTAATTGAATTTTAATTGTATTTTTTGTTTTTTTTTAATGTGACCTTTATTTATGTTTCATTTTTTTTTCTTTTTTTTCTTCTTTTTCTGTTATTGTAACCGTTCGATTCTCTTTGATTTCTCTTTGTATGTGTGTTAATGTAATTGGTGTAAAGCCGTGTTAACATCACAATAATAAATAAATAAATAAAATAAATAAAAATAAATAAATAAACATAAAATAGTGAAAAGTGGGTGTTATATTTTACAGTGGCATTTAAGTGCCATATGTAGACTTCTGCCTACCCCTTCGGGGTTAAAAGGCGTGAAATTATGTATGTATTTCAAATATTAAGAAACTATTTTTGTATGAACAACTCTGGTACGGCTTGAAACAAGTAGTTTATGGTATCCAAATAAAAGAGGGCTCTTACTATTTTTGTACTTATTATTGTTTTTTCCTATTTCAGGCTTTCATCTATGGATTCGAAGTTGACGATGCCCTTGCCCTACTCAGATTGGATGATTTATTCGTAGAATCGTTCGAAGTTAAAGATGTAAAAACATTAAACGGTGACCATTTAAGTCGCGCCATCGGCCGCCTTGCGGGCAAAGCTGGCCGCACAAAATTCACCATAGAGAATGTTACTAAAACTAGAATAGTGTTGGCAGACTCAAAAATTCATATTCTTGGCAGTTATCAGAATATCGCGTTGGCGCGAAGAGCGATATGCAACCTCATTATGGGTTCGCCTCCATCTAAAGTCTATGGAAATTTGAGAAATGTTGCCAGCAGGGTCGCGGAGAGATTTTAGTTTGTAAATAAAAGCTTTATTTGTAAATAAAATGTGTTTTTTATTAAATACCGTAAAATGGGGTGAATAGGGATCCAGGGGTGAATAGGGAAAAAACCAGGCATCATTTTTAACTCTAAATGCTAGTTTGCAAATCGTTCCAACTTTTACCATTTTTTGAGGGATAATAGTAGATTATTGGAACTTTTCTATGGCAACATTGAACAAGTGTAAAATCAGCTGCAAACTATCAAAAATTTCAATTGAAAATAGTATAGACAAGATACCGGTTATTACAGTGTATAAAACTTAGCTGTGTAAAGGTTATTTTGTATTAAGCGAATACGAGTGTTAGTTTTATACCTTATTTAGGGTTTGGGCCGTCATATCCACGAAAGTTAAGCATCAGTTATTAATTAATATGACTATAATTTATATTTTTTGGATTGGCATGCGAAATTTGTATTTTTTGGGGTGAATGGGGACGTCTCAGGTATGAATCACAACGAAAGGGGGGTTAATCGGGATGAGGATGGGATGAATAGGAACGACTTATGTATGAATAGGTACAGCTTTATAGGGTTGTCACTGAGCAGACTTAACATTTTTTTATTTCATAAATTAGCGAGGTATTACACTGCGTCGTTAATCTAGTTATTGCAAGTGCAACTGCTGACCATGAAGTCTCAGGATCGGTTCCCGAGTCGACCCAATTTTTGTTGGAATTTTGAAATATTTTACGGAGACCGAAATTGTGTCCGGTGTATCTTAGTAGGCTTGTCCCCTATTTCTTGGGCTGACAACATTACTGACGAACACTGGCTGTCACATTTAATACGTAGGTACATTATTTTTTTTTGGGATGGGAAATTATTATATGACACCTCCTGCTCTGGGCGGAGCCGAAAGTTTATTTTAGTGTTGATATATTGAGTAGAAATTTTTATATACAATAATGCAAATTTATTTTATCAGATATGCCTCGCGTGTATACCATGTTCATTAATGAATAATTTGCAAAAGGTTTGTTGATTAAATAAATAATGGAAGTAAAAGTGGATTTTATTTCAGTGACTAAATAGCTATTAAATAATCAGAAACTAGTATTATGTAAGAATTACATAGGGGCAATAAGTAATAATGTAGAATAAATTAAAATACAAAAAAAATGGTAGTTAGCTAGAAATTATAATTTATTAGGTAGGTACCTACACAAGTGGCAGCCCTAGAGAATTTCCCTATTGGCCTTATTTTCGTCCCGATTGACCCCAATTTCTGGGTGAATAGGGATAGGCTATATTTTAGCTTTTTTATGCATAAACTGAAATGCTAATTGCATAATTTATGTTTGATCACAAAGATACCATCACGACTCAATTATTACAATCGCCTTACAGCAAATTTTCTATAAAAAAACGCCTTAACTTTCTTTATAAAGTTCAGATTTGTCCCTATTCACCCCATTTTACGGTACTTAATTTCACTGAAGAAGTGTTATATGAAATGTGACATAACAACTAAACTTAAATAATATTTAGCATAAAATATGTTACAATAATTGAAAACTGAACATCTAAGCAGAAATACAAGGTGTAACAATATGAACTCCTCTCCCTCTACCTGGCTGGAGGGAGGGCAGGTATAAGGCTGTTAAGCTAGCACGAGAAATCTCCTTTCATTTTCCTTTCTTCTACCTTTTCGCCGCCCAGCTATACTAAACACGATGTGTCGCCGTACGCCAACGTATAAATGTATAATAAATGTATAGTACGAAAGTAGGGATGGCGGTAACATCATGTCGATAATGAAAAAAAATATGTGTAAATTTAAATTGGTACTCAAATTTACAATTAAAAATACAAACTGTTAAGTTATAATGGTAATTTGTTTTATTTTATGAACATTTATACTAAGAAAAATGGGTATCCGTTATCAGAGATGAAGATACATGCATAGAGTTGCTAGAGATAATAATAATAATTCGTAACATTAGCCACTTCACTATTCATTTCATAACGTAGTCTGTTTACTTCATATCAAGTCATTGGCGTTCAAAGCACGATACATTTCGTAAGGAATAGTTGTCTATGCTTTTCTTTCTTTCTATCGAGTTTGGTTTGCTTTTGGTTTTAGTTTACATTTAAAATCTAACGTCAGGTCACGATCAGGAACATTGTTTGTAGTGATTAAAAGTAGCAACATATGTGTAGTTTTGGAAATGGATGGTAAGTAACTATTTTAATACAGATGTACTAAACTTTAATAGCTTATTTTTCATTTAATGCAAATGAAAAACTGGCACGTTTGATGGATATTAGGTAGTCATAAAATACCTATTCGTTGCGGCTCTCGGTTTCGCAAACTTTTAGCTGTGTCGGCGAACAAATATAGACCTGAGTCGATCACAAATTTTTCGCGACCCAAACAGTTTGTAATCGAATCAAAATGACTCAATCATTTGGATATTTCATAATCATGAAAATAATTATAGGTATAGGCCGTGCGATTAATCGATTAAGTGCGATTGCGTGCGTGCACGCGTCGCCCGGAACTATGACACAATGACCTTGACGCCTAAGCGCTTACGACGTCACAGGTTTACTTCTATTGAAGTTGACGGCGCTAGTGTCACTCGACATCTTGCCATTACGTAGAGATGGGTCTAGCAATATCGAAAACCCTCAGTACATAATAATTAATTTTAATGAAATGATTTGATAGGTAGATGTACATTAATTTTGAAACGCATTGTAATACGTTATTTACTGACCGGAATTTCTTTTTATTCATAGAATTCAAAAAACTATTGGATGGAAAAGAAAACAAATATTATAGTAAATAAAGATTCTAATGAATGCTCCTTACGCGTCACATCACTGGCCTACTTGATATGAAGTCGTTGGCGTGCGGGATATAAAATTATTTGAAACCTTTTATGTTTTACCTTTTTAAAACAGAAAATAGTCTGTTTTGCATGAGAAAAAATAGTTCGTCGTGTCCATATTACGAAATTACAAAGAAACAAATGTTTTATGTATCGTAAATGTATTTTTTATAGTAGGTAGATACAATGAACTTCTATAGAAGTAGTGGCGTGGACGGCACGAAAATCCTGAACTTCTATAGAAGTTGTTGGCGGCGAAAAGGTTAAGTACAACAACTGAGTGATTCTTCTTCAGATTGTCCCAATTTCACGAGTGTACCAATATACAGCATCATGTTTTTATAATAACTATCGTGAGACATACTAAATTATGACTAGCACGCGATGGCTGCGCGACATCGCCACAACCGCGCACGCTGCTCATGAGGAAGAACCCCTCTGTGGTTAGAAACAAGTAGAGCTTTTCTCAGTATATTCACGTGAGTAACCCGCGATTTTTAGTTAATACAGCATCATTATATTTGGGGACACTCCTAAAAAATTAATGATAGCATTTCTATTTGCTTCATAACACCTTGTATATAACTATACTAGATTTCATAGTTCATTGTGAGTTTACAACAATATTTTGTATTTGAAATGTCTGGGGACTCGCGAGAGTACTAGCCGGGCGTCGTAACTCAGGGAGGCGAAGGTCCAAGGCTCCGCGGCGCTCCACTCTGCACAGTATACTGAGTCCTCGTGTTGCTCATACGATTGTAGTACTCCGTCCTCTAGACTGCAAATATAAAAGTAAAAAATATTCCATGCAACTGTCAAGTTAGTAAGGTTCGTAAGTTGAGTTATGTATTGTTGGGATGAGCTAAAGTACAATAATACCCGAATATAAATATTACACTTCGACCTTTTTTTTTAAGGGGGGAAAATCATCGAATGACTGCTCCCGCCTAGGTGAGGCGGGAGGGAGTGTCAGACTCTTACTGACTAAAAACCACCCCGTTCCTTCTCCTGCACGTCGAGCCGGAGCCCCGGTTACCCGTTAGGTTCTCCGCGACACACTTCGACCTTTAGATTACTTTTTTATGTTAGATGGGACTGACGTTTGACCACTATCTCGCCTGGTGGTAAGCGATGATGTGGCCTACGATGGAGTAGGTCGACCCATAAACAAACTTCATTTCGAAATCTCAGCGGCGAAAACTATTCTAGCACACGTCTCGAATCAAAATCATTCGACAATTTTTTTGGTCTCTTTCCAAACTCGATGTGCAATATTTATTGCCGGGTAATGTATTTAGAAAAATAATAAGTAGCTCTTAAAACGAACAAATTAGCTGTTTAATAGGAGACAGGCCAGTGCTTTAGCCAAACGCCACTTTAGCGCTTGTCTACAGAGAGAGTAGAAATCAAAATGTATGGGGATGGCAAGCAGAGCGGGTGAAACCGCGCGCAAGTAGCTAGTAATAGATAAGTATACTGACACTTGGCTGAGTCGTTTGCCGTCATCGTCGAGATCGCAGCACACACTGGCGGCGGCAGTGAGCAGTGCGCGCGCGTCGGAACTGCCTGACAACAACAACTGCTCGTGGAATGTGTTGTACCGGACTGTCCATACCCTGCCGAACGATATAAATTAGTATTTTAGTGATAAACTACGTACATACGACACCTTAAGTCTAAAAATAGAACTAATGTTGGTAGTTGAAATCTTTATCCGATAGATGGCGTTGTGCAGTTACGTCATTTTCTAAATGGCGGTGTTAGAGTGCAATTCGTTGCTAGAGTCTGTTTCCTGGGGTATACATTTTTGTTAAGTATATATATGTCGTAGGATAATTTGATACTTCGAATCTTCGCGGAAATCCTAGGGGTTTTGCGAAAACGCGGATAATTAGACATAGGCGAAAAATTATCAAATCTTACTGGACAAAGTCAGGATTTTTGCGAAAATACTCGTTACTATAGTAAGATTTGATGTGCTCAACACTGATTGGCTACAATTTTGCTGGCTGACTTCTAATTGGTTCCTAGTTTGCCGATGACTAACTTCAAGTATTGTATCATAGAGATATGAAGGTTTAGAATAGGTGAGAAAGAAAAATCACTAAATTGATTTTTATAAACTTTTATTGAAAATTTTAGTATGTATGTTGT